TGTGGGGAACAAATGGGAGACCACAAAAGGAAAGAAATGAGAAAGCACTATATTATGCAAACACTGTAGCTATCTCGAAGTCATTCCAGGTTCTGGAATAACAATCTCTGGTAAAAGCAGAGGAGATGGAAACCAGCTTCTGAGAAAGATGAGCCCAGAAATATCTTCCCCTTCAGGTCCTCTGAGGGGAACCTGCCTTTTGGGTAGACCACCTAGGAAAAGCCATATACACCCCCATTATGAGGAACTTGGAGATGGGCCTTTTTCCAAGATGAAAGAACGAGGGGGCAAAAGAAGAGCCTTAGTGCAGCCAGAATTCCCACCCTTAGGCAAAGGTTTGCCTCTCTGTTTTTACACTGTAGGGAACAAGTCAGGAGCTGGATGTAAAGGCTGGCACACAGGGCACATGCTTATAACCCCAGTGACTCAGAAGGCTGAGGGGGGAGGATCAAAAATTTGAGGCCAGCCTCAGCTATTTAGTGAAGCCCTCGGCAACTTAGTGAGCCCCTGTCTCAAAATTAAAAATAAAAAGGGCTCAATGGTAAAGCACCCCTGGGTTCAATGCCCGGGACATACAAATAAATGAAGGTTGGTACAGGACCAATAATGTAGGCCAGAGTAGGGAGGGAGGGTCTATCCAGGCCCGAAACTCAGTGTGTGTGTGTGTGTGTGTGTGTGTGTGTGGACAGAAGGGGCAGGAAGAATGTGAGTAGTGAGAGCAGTAAGCAGTGCACAAGGGTCAAACATCTGGAAAACAGCCCAAGAAGTGTTGGCAGGGTCTTACTGACAATAGAGTGGTGACAGCCATGCAGAGGTGACCCAAGTGGGGCAGCCAGCAGAAAGAAAGAGTGCTCGGTCTGGCTGGGACCGAGAATTCAGAGAAAATCACACCGAGGGAAGGAGAGAGAAGTGAGAAATCTGTCAGGGCCCATCTCAGGGAGCAGATGTGAGGTTTGTGGCAGCCCCATAAAAGTGTAGGCCAATCCAGTCATAAAATTATATTATGATACGATAACGACGTGGCTGCAGAAGGCATCAGTAGCAACGTGCTGCCTGTGGAAGGCTTCCATTTTAATTCAGTAATGATGTGACTGAAATTAGAAATGTGCCCCAAAGCCACAGAATGGGACCTCTCTTCTTTTCCTAAAGTAACCTCGAAGCAATTTTCTGATCCAAAAAAATTCAGGTGTGAAAATTCTGGGAAGGGCAGGAGAAGGGGAGCATTCACTTGGGTGGAGGAGATCTCAGAAAAGAAGTCACCAAAGAAGCCTGGGAGAGGCCCAGGGATTTTACGCAGAGAACTCCTGGGATTCCTCAGAGACTGGAGTCATCTGACCAAGAAACTTGCCCTTGAGTCTGTGGCCTTTCCTCTTTCTTCTCCCTGACACTTCTCCTCTGCAGCATGTTCAGTGCCACTCAAGCCAAGGCAGCTATTTATAGAGCAAGAGCCATTCTACCACAGGGTGTGGTATTTAATTTAAAGAGACGTCAAAGAGTGAGGGGCAGATGGCAGAGCAGGCAGCATGTCTCGATGACCTTGGTGGGGGCACCTGGTCCCACAGATGCATCCTGAGTGTACAGATCTAGAAATGCACTCTGATGAATGAACCTTCTGATGGAGCTTCCGGGAGAAAAGGATCCACTAATAAGCCAGGTGCCCCAGTGGATCTGTGAGTAGTTAGTGAAATGACACCCGGGAGATACCCAGATGATCCTTTCTGGAAAGTTGTCAACTCAAGAGACTCAATTATATATCACAGGTTCACCTGGATATGGAAGATCCTGAACTTGGAAAAAAGAAAAGGAACATGGTCTCAAAACAGCCCTTCCTTAACCCACCCCAAAAGAGAGACCAATTCTTGTCTCTCCTCCTCTTCCTTCCCATAAATTGGATGCAGACCACTCTTGCATTAACACATTTTTCCTTTAACTGCTTATTTTATTGATTTCCCAGGGTTGCTGTACCAAGGTACCACAAACTGTAGCTTAAAAGCAGAAATTCATTGTCTCCCAAATCTGCAGAATGGGCGTACAACATCAAGGTTTTGGCAGGGCTATGCTCCCTCTGAAAACTGTAAGGAACTCCTTCCTTACCCCTTCCCAGTAATCCTTGGCAATTCCTTAGCTCACAGCTGCAAACTACAGTCTCGGCCTTCATTGTCACAATGACGTCCTCTCAGTCATAATGGACTAGGAGTCTCCCTATCCTATATGATCTCATTGCAACTAATTAAATCTGCATCAACTCTATTTCCAAATAAGATCACATTCTGAGGTACTGGGGGCTAGATTTCAACTTTTATGGGGGACATAATTTAATTTAATAATTTAACAGTTATTCCACAATGAGGTTCATAAACATTAAGCACCAATTAAGCACCAAAGAACAGAAGTGTTGCAGTTGCCATCAGTAAGGCAAATCCCTGCCCTCAAGGATCCCACGTGTTATTGAATTTTATATATACACACACATACACACACACACACACACACACCACATACATATATACACATACCTACAGGTTGTCCCTCAGTATTTGTGGAAGATTGTTTGCAGGATCACCTATAGATACCAAAACCTGAAAATATATGTATACCCAGGCTCTACCCCAAACCAATTAACTAAAAATCCCTGGAAGAGGACCCAGCAGACTTAGTATATTTTAATAGTTTCCAAGGTATGATGGTTACTTTTATGTGTCAACTTGACTGGACTTCAGGGTGCCCATATTTGATCCAACATTATTCTGGGTGTTTCCATAGGGTGTTTTTGGATGAGTTTAACATTTAAAGATATAGACTGGATAAAGCAGACAGTCCTTTGCAGTGTGAGAGGGCCATATCCAATTAGTTGAAGGCCTAAATAGAAAATAAAGGTTGATCCTCCCCCGAAATAAGAAGGAATTCCTCCTGCCTTACTGTCCTTGAGCTGGAACATGGTTTTTTTTCTGGCTTCGAATTTCAACTGAAATATTGGCTCTTCATAGGTCTTAAGCTCTGCTGATCTTTGAACTGGAAAGATAGTATTGGCACTACTGGGCCTCTAGCTTATTTATTGCAGATGTTAGGCCTTGTCAGCCTCCATAATCATGTGTCAATTCCTTATAATAAATATCTTTATATGTTTATATATGTCATATATATCTTATATTTATATATTTAGATCATATGTATGTGTGTATGTATGTGTGTATGTGTGTGTATATGTGTATGTGTGTTTCTCTGGACGATCCAACTAATACACCAGGTATTTATAATATGCAAACAACATTAAGAACTACTGACCTCTAATACACAGTAAGAAAATGATTAATTCTGCCTGGGGAGGAGACTTCACAACAGCCATTGCCAAGCATTTGGGAACAGAGGAAAGACTATTAACAAGGAGAACAAAGAAGAGAGGGTGAGAAAAAGGAAGGAGGAATTGCAGAGGAAGCTAAGATGGACAGATTGAGCCCTGACTCTGCCCAGCTGCAAGTGGCAAGGTTTAGTAACATAGGGAGCTATTGACAAGCTTTGGTCAAGGGAGTGATATACCATTTCTGCATTTTAGGAAGAGAAATCTGAAACCCGTAGAGAAGAGGGGAGGAAAGATTGAATGTGAGGTAGACCAATAAGAATACCAGTGTAAAAGTCTACTATGGACTCGATGTTTATGTCTTCCCCAAATCCACATGTGGAAGTCCTAACCCTCAATGTGATGATATTAGGAAATGGGGCCCTTGGAATATAATTAGGTTTAGGTGAGGTCAAGAGAATGAGATCTTTATGATGGTATTAATGCCCCAGCAGAAAAAGGAAAAGATACCAGAACTTCCTGTCTCCTCCTTGTGAGGACACAGCCAGAAAGCCACTGTCTGCAATTCAGGACCCCCCACCAAGAACCAAGCAAGAGATACTGCAGTCCTGGACTAGAGGGAAGCAGGGAGGTTGTATGTGTGTGTGTGTGTGTGTGTGTGTGTGTGTGTGTGTGTGTGTGTGTGCTAGAGCTAAAATAAACAGAATTTTGGCATGTAGACTTGGGAAATATGGAGGAGATGTCAAATATAACTTCAAAGTTCCTAATTTGGGTGACTGAGATGATGGTGGTGTTAAGATTGGGAACACAGGAGGAGAAACAGATTTTGTGGAGGATGTAAGGAGTTTTTGTACACTTAAATTTGAGATGCCACAGGACATTTGCTAAGAGGTATCCAGTGAGCTGATAAAAATAGATGTTTGGCCCTCAATAAAGAGGTTGTACTCTTTGTTAAAAAAAAAAAAAGTTTAGGGATAACCAAAATATAAGTGATAACAGAATTCATGGGAGTAGGTAGGATGATCTAGGAAGAATATAAAAAGGGCTGGAAATAGGAGCCCAGGTACTTAACTGTTTAAGGGACACATGAGGTGAAGGAAGTTATCAGAGGCTACAAAACAGCAATTAGTGAAGCAGAGAAAAACCGGTGAGAATGGTATGATGGAAGTCTTCTGAGGCAGAGTCCAATCAGAAAATAGAAACCACACATTCAAAACAGGGGTGTTTAGTTTGAAGAATTATTAAGCCATGATCCTATCATGGCGAGTAACTATAAAGATGGAAAACACTAAAGTTTATCCCCAAACTGAAGAATATCCAAGGAGGGACATACTTGAAAGGTAATTTCAGAACTCACTGTGAAATGTGTTAAGTAGAAAAGAATCATGTTTCCAAGCAGTTAAAGGGGGATGGATTTGGTATTTGCCAAATAATAATATATATAAAATAAAGTGAATTATTGACACATCAAATATTTCAAAGATATCCAGTAATTAAATGGAGAGAGTGTGGTATGGTTGTGAAGGAGAGGGACAGGAAGAGAAAGTAGGGTAAATTCTTGGCCATCCCTGGTATAAGCAGTAAATAACCCAAATATCATATTTTATTTTAAAACAACTATGAATGTATCATGGAGCATAAGGAAAGATTGGCACAAAATCTAAAAATTTAAAGGGAGAACAGAAGAAGTGTTTTCGATTACCTTTAGAGTCCAGCCACCTGCATTCTTATCTTCTGCCACTAGGGGCACTGCGGTGGGAAAGTCTGAGCATCTGGGCTCCCAGAACTTCTGAAAAAAGCAAATTCATCTGCATGAGAAAGAGTTTGGATTTTTTTTTTATTGGTTGTTCACCACATTACAAAGCTCTTGACATATCATATTTCATACATTAGATTGAACCAATAAAAAAATTTTTAAATTTAAAAAAATAAAAGCAAAAGACAGCACAGTTATATAATTTTCAAGTAATTTAATTATGACCCAAAACAATCCCCCCCAAAAAAATACTTCAAGCATGATTAGAGAAAGCAAAATGACTTACACATAGCATAGTAAAATTCACAGTGTCTACCATCCAATCCAAAAAAATATGAGCTACAAAATGAAATCGGAAACTATGACCCACAAGAAAAGATAAATCATGCCATCAAAATTGACCCAGAACTGAATAGCTGTTAGAATTAGAGATCTACCTCTCCTTCTTTGCACTTTTATGACACGAATCCTGTTGGATTAAGACTCATCTTAATGATCTCGTCTTAACTTGATTACATTCTCAAATAGCCTATTTCCTCATAAAGTCATAATCACAAGAACTAGGGGTAAGACTTTAATATATCTTTTGAGGGGGACATGACTCAACCCACGACATCATAAAAAAAAAAAAAGAAAGTATTTGGAAATCTCAGCTGAACAAAGTACTCCATGGGGGTCTAAGTGCCAAACTAGAGAAATCTAGATAATCCACTGAATTTTTTTTAATGAAAAAGTAAGATTTGGAAAGAAATTTGGCAGGACTCATACTTTTTAATTCTCAGCATTTCCTTATTTATTTAGAGGAAGATTATGTGATTGTGTAAACAACTTTTTCTACTATAAACTGATAAAGGGAAAGAAACATCCTTTCATGGACCAGAGTGTGTGGCACTCTGGCCCTTTGTCGAGTCATCCCAGTGACTCTTTTGGATCAGGACTGACCTAGCATACTTTGTCTAAAAATACAGCATATCCTGCCCCTCTGAGGCCTGATTATTGAAAATGGGTCCCTAACATTGCAAAACCTTTTGCTCTAGAAAACATACAAGTCTCCTTAGCTTGTCACTTCCTTAGGGGAAGGTCCAGTCATTCACACAGTCCCTATGGCTGGCAACCATCAGGTTTCCTCTCAGGGGCTGGCTGGATCTCTAAAATTCTCTCCATCTCCAAGGGTATCAGGGTCTTCAAAAGGATTGCTAGAAGAAATATTCTGCCTCACCTATTGTGACAGTTCATTGTATTGATGGCTTCCAAAGAAACACCTCTCCTGGTAAACACACACACACACACACACACACACACACACACACACACACACACACACACACGGCAGTCATGCCTTCTTGAACTTTCCTCTGGGCTAGAACTGTGACTTGCTTTAACCAGGAGAATATGGTAGAAATGCAATTTCTACTTATGCGTTCTTGGGAGCTCTGGAGTGCTAAGAAAGATGTCCAGCTTCTCTGCTGGAGAGATCATTAGGAGAAGGCAAGGCCCTGAGTCACCCGGAAAGAGTGGAGAGAGGCCCAAGCTGACCAAGCGCACAGCTATCTGCTAGCTAAATGCAGTCCTATGAGTGATCATTGGCAAGGTCAGCAAAAGAACCATCCAGTTGAGCTCAGCCCTAATTGCAGAATCTTGAGCAAATAAAGCAGTTGTTTTAGGCCATCAAGTTTTAGGGTGGTTTATTTCACAGGAATAGTCAACAGGGAAGGAGGGAGAATACAATTATGAATGACCCTATGAAACAGAAGTTGGCAAGAGTTGTACAATATGTCAAGGGTCTGACTTTTTTCTTTATGACATGATAAAATGTGGTGTTGCTAATTTTCCCCAATCTATAACTGTGTTAATCATGTCTTTATATTCTGTATTTTGGATGCTTTAACATCTTGAGTCTTATGGACCCTTGAGGGATTGCCCCCTCCCAGGGTTAGAGTGCTCCTTTCATATAAATCAACCAATCCAGAGCCCACATGCCAACCACATTCTGTACTTGGCTATCACACTCTGTGCTTCTGTTTACCTGCCCTAGTCTGTCTGCCCCAGGACCAAGTACCAAACAATTAGGAACATGCCCTATTTACCAGAGACCAACGAAATCATTCAAATTAGCCAATCCTAAACCTTATTTTTCCTTACCTATTTCCTTTGCAGAAACCACAATAAAAGCTTCCAACCACATTTCACATTTTCACCTGCTCCCTTGGCCTTCTGACCCAATTCAGTACTTTTCCTTGTGTCCCTCCCTCCAGTAGTGTGTCATAGCCCCTTCTCTTAGTACCTGGGAACATAGCAAACTATCTCTTACAACAGTTGTCTCCTGATCTGTGAACTTTGTCCTACTTGAATAAGAAAATCTATTTTTTAAAACAAGAACTTGTGAGTACAAATGAGTGGACAAATCCTATAGCAAGTTCGACTTCCTCAGGTGCCTAAGATGGAAAAGCAGAGGTGACAGGGAAGGACATATTGTTATATTGTGCCACAAAAAATAATAACTACCATTTTGAATGTTCCCATTAGTTCTCAAGACAGCTTCCAGAAATACATTTCATTGTCCCCATTATCCAGAAGTGAAAATCAATGCATACCTTAAATAAAAAGCCACCCATGGAAATAGGATTCAACCCAGTTTTGTTTTAATCCAAATGTAGAATGTGCTTTTTTCCTGATTGTCCCAATAATTTTTGGTAGGCTCACCAATGTTTTCTGGTCTTTCCTATAAGTTATACAAAGCCTTTGAAAGTTTTCTATGTTGAGTTTTTGAACAAATGAACTTTGCATTTTTAATCACTTTTTCTGATTATAAAAGTGGTCATTCTCATTAACAATTTGAAATACAGAAAAGAAATTGAATTCACTCAGACACTCAGAGATAACTATTATCAACACTTCAGTGTATGTCCTTCTATTCAGATTAAACTCACCATCTCTTATAACCCACTTTTAAAAAAATACTTTTTTTAGTTGTAAATGAACACAATATCTTTATTTATTTATTTATTTTTATGTGGTGCTGAAGATCAAACCCAGTGCCTCTCACATTCAAGGCAAGCATTCTACCACTGAGCCACAACCCCAGCCCATGACCCACTTTTAACCCAAAAATATACTACGAGCATTTTACTACTTTTTAACCTAACTTTCCATTGTTAGCATAGAAATTATTCCTGATGCTTTTTGTTGTTGGGCATGGTAGCACATGCCTATAATTCCAGCAGCTTGGGAGGCTGAGGCAGGAGGATTGCAAGTTCAAAGCCAGCCTCAGCAACTTAGCAAGGTCCTAAGTAACTCAGTGAGACCCTATCTCTAAATAAAATACAAAACAGGGCTGGGGATAGGAATATGACTCAGTGGTTGAGCACTCCCAGATTCACTCCTCAGTACAAATAATACACACACACATATGTGTGTATATATACATATGTAATTATATATGTATATATACATATATATTTCTAATGTTTTGCTATTAAAGTGTTCTAATGAATATTCTCACATGTCCTTATATTTCTTTGTGAGCACCTCTGATTAATATTTTAGGATAAACTCCCAGATGTAGAATTGCCCAAATAATATTCACATATTTATGACTTTTGATACTTATTTGTCCAGCTTCCCTCCAAAAATGTTATACCTCCTCCATCTACCCCAGAATCTTTTTGAATCTTTTGTTAACATAAAATAGTTTATCACTAGACATTGCTCTCTGTGTGTGCACACACAAGTGTGTGCAAATATGCGTGTGCATGTGTGATTAAAACACACACAGGGTCCTTTCCATGTAAAATATAAGCAAAGTATAGTCTTTGATTAATACATGTAATTGGTAAATACAGAGACTCCTTAGACTCAGAATTTTTCTTCCAAAATAAAAATATCTCTCAAAAAAGATTGCTGACCTAATAGTGGAGTGACTATTGTATATTCAATCACTCAGAACTATGACACCTGACTACCAATATCGCTTAGATGACAGGCTTATATGCATCCTTCAAAATCTATTCAGATTATAGGAAACTTATACAGTAAGTCCAGAGAGGAGGCCAGTAACAGTGTGACCTACTTCTATAAGGGAAGTGTGTCTGGAAGAGGTGGCATTTTATCTGATTCTAAAGAACTAGAGAGATGTGCAGTCCCAGAATGCAAATAGAAGACTGCATCATTTCTCTGCACCACATAGGCAAAGGAATATGCTTCTTACCTGGCATGATCTCAAGTGTCCTCCAAACACATTCATGCTCTCAAATGTCACCTTCCTCATTCTGGCCTTTTGTCATGTGCCCTAAAGTCTGAGTAGTAACACCTCAGGCTTCAAGCTGAAAGGTCCCTGTTAAAATGCAAATAGATGAGCCAGAAGGGCTAACACCTTACCCCATTAGCAGCTTTAACAATTCGGCTCAAATGAGTCTATCAAATGCTTCTTAGTCACCTAAAAAGGCCCCACAGAAATGAGACCTGAATATGTGATACTACTCAGGGCCAAAGTCAGGGTAGAGTGGTAAGAAGTATCTTGGATGACCTGGGGACAGAAAGACCACTCTGATGACAGAAGGGACAACATAGAACATTTTTGAGGATGCTGAGATGAGAAGCTTCAAAGAAAGTGGTCAGTGGGGTCCAGGCAATGAATGGGACTTGTACTGAAACACTGAGTCCCTTTCTGTGCTGGTTTCCTAACCACACTGGTCTGTAGTTTCTATACTCCACCAATAACAGAACTTTCAGCAACAATTTTACTCTAGGTTGCCAAACCATGCCCCACTGTACTCCAGGTGTACACAGGTAAGTATAAGAGGCAGGCCCAGCACACTCTTGGTGGCATCCATTAACAAGGCACGAGCTCTGTGGATAGCAACGAGGAGATTTATGTGTGCTGAAGGAAGGTACTAAATATAATGGCCTCTTCACTGGCACATGGTTATGGTACTATTATGGCTTTCCCTTCATGCCTGTCACTGGATTATGGTAATTTTTTTTCTAGTCATGGGTTTTAATCAGAGTTGAAGTCTCTAAGTTACTGACAGCTC